ACTGGATCCCAAGTCCGACCTTTGGGTTGTCGCCGCCAAGGGGACCGCCCACTCGCATCTTCTTGGTCGGGCTCACCATGTCCGATCGTGCCTCTTGACCGTGACCGTTAGGCACACCCCCATTGAACTTGCGCTTGTCTGCACCACTCTTAGTAATGCCAGAGAACAGCTTCGCCTGGAGTCTGGCGCTCTTCTCTGCCGGCGCAGGTGTGCCGTCGCGAGAGCCTACTGAGCTGGCAACTTCGAAGCTCTCACGGGGATCGCGGCGCAACATCTCTGACGCTGCCTGGCTCGCTTGGCTCTCGTAAACTTCCTCCTCGTCCTCGTTGCCGCTGCCGCCGGGGAGGGGACGGCGAGCGCCACGGGAGTTGCGGGATGCTTGCGAAAGGAACGAGGCCGACTTGGCGACGGACTCGAGAGCCTGGCGGGCGAGCTCCTCGTTGTCATCGGCCGAAATAGTGCTCTCGCGGCTCTTGCGAGCGCGCTCTTGGACCCGCTCCTGGATGGCCGGTGGCGGCGTGCCAGGAACCATTTGTGAGTGGCTGTACCGGTACCGAGGCTCGCTCTGAGGGACCAGGTTCACAGAGGGCAAGAGGCCAGATTGCTGCTCATGGCGCTGGGTGCGGGAGAGCGGCGTCGTTGGCAGGGCAGATAGAGACTGTGCGTTTCGGGTGTGCTTGGGAGGCATGCGGGGCGCGGGTCTGACCGCTGTCGTGGGCGTCGAGGGCGCGCTGTTGTTGTCCTGGCTGAGGGCCTGCAGCAGAGCCGCAATGGGCTCGGGGCCGTGGTCTCGGTCGACCACCCTGGCCTCGCGGTTGGCCGACCGAGGCGTCTGCTGCTTGGGAGTAGCTCGGTGAGGCTGCTGGGGAGTTGAGACGGTGGCCTGCTTGGGCGTCATGGCACCGTGAAAGATTCCGCCGGGGCTGCACAGCATGTGAAAGTGTTCCCGATTCTCCCGGATGCGGTTGAGTAGCATGTCGCGCTCCTCTGTGAGGCCAATAATTTCCTCCTCCTTGTGTGAAATAACCTTCTTTGCCATCTTGACTCGTCGCACGAGGCCCTCGTTCTCGTCCATGGCCTCTTCGTACCACATCTTCATCTGGAGGTACTTCATCTGCGCCGACTCTGATGCAGCGCTGAGTTCGCGGACAGCATGACGGGAGTACTCTGCTGTCCTCAGGGCCTCGATCTCTCGCCTGGTCATCTCGTGCTCCACGGCTGCCCTCTTGGCATCCTCGTCCGCCTGGAGGCTTAGCAAGTTGTACTGGAGCTTGTGGTGCGCGGCCTCCATCTTCAGCTTTGCGTGTTCTGCGATACTAGCCTGCATCATGGCTCGAAGTTCGTCTGCGGTGGCTTCGACAACCTGCTGAGGGGCGGGTGGGATATATTCAGTCCCAAGACCTCCATCTCGTCGTACCGTCGCGTTGTGGCCTGTGGCGGGCGGAGAGAAGAGAGCGGATCGCTGGGAGGCGCCGTATGCGGTCTGCAGAACGCCGTTGCCAGTGTGCGTAAGCAATTGTGACGAGGGCGGCGGTGTCAAGGACGAGGGGATGACGGCGGAGGAGCTCAGACGGTCGTCGTTGACTTCGGTCTTGAATGATTGGCTGGATTCGGCGGGCGATGCGGGCACTTCAGTAGAGGGGAGTGTCACTTGTGATGAGTCCAATGCGAGGACATTGGTGTCTTGAGGTGTCGTGGGAACGGTCGTGGTGTCGTTGGGCTGCTGGGCTGGAGCATCCGGGGCGGCGGCCATGATGGAAGTGGGAGCGATAGTTCGGAGCGAGCGAGCTATGCCTGAAATGCGATCGGGGAGAAGAGGTGTGAATGTTGGTAATTGATTGCTGCAATTAGAACGCGGGGTAGCTGTATAGGCGACTCTAGTAGAGAAGTGCCGGTCTGAGAGCTTGAGGTGGGTGAGTGCGGAGAGGAGGCGTCGCGTTGAGAACCACGTCAGCGATGGAAACAAGGCAGCGCGGATTGGTTCAGAGAAGCCGGCGATGACAGAAGCGACACAGAGACGTGGAGCGTTGGGTTCGATGCAGAGATATAGAGACGAGGTGGCGGGGAGAGGAAAGGGGAAAAGAGAGCAAAGGCTCCTTGGTGGTGTCTCTGTGCTCAACCGAACGCTCTTTGTCTTCGGCACGGGTTTGACGGTGGACGGTTAGTAGCGTGCGTGTGTGTATGCGTGTGGTGTGTGGTGTGTGGATGTGGTGGTGTATTGGCGATGGTTGGTGGGCGGTTGCTGTGGGAGCAGATGGAAACGGAACGGCGCCAGAACCCAGAGCAGAGCAGAGCAGAGCACGAGCCAGCGGAATAGCAAAAAAAGATGGACGACAATCAGCGGACGGCTGGGGCTGGGGAGGAGGTGGAAATGGACGGGGGGGAGCTGGGCCGCGAAAGGGAAAAACCAAGGAAAAAAGAAAGGCTGGCGGTGGGCGGCTGAGTCGACGCTAGGCCCAGACGAGAATCGGGGTGGGCTCGGTGAAGCTCCAGGCGAGCGAGGTGAGGAGCATGGGCCTGGCCAAGGTGAACGGTAAGTGACTTGATTGGTTTCTTCACCGAGAAGCTAGTCATCCCGTCTTTGTGCTCCCGAGACTGCCCCCTTTCTGCTAATTCACTTTCACCAAAGCCACCCAAGGCACCAGAGGCTGGGAACGGAAGCCGATTGCTATAGCTTCATCAACTCCAACCTCCAATATCCCTATAGAGTAAGGATAATACTGTTTCTGTTTTCTTTCGTTTCCCTACTAGGTAAGTATCCATTGACTCCAGTCGCGACTACTCCGTAGAATCAATCACGCCTTGAGGTAGCTCAGAATTACCTCCTTGAACTGCTCAAAGTTGTCCACAAACGGGACGTGACCCGCGTTCTTGATCAACTTGAGCTCAATCTTGTTGTCCTTGCCAGCTGCCCTGAACCCCTTCTCCACCTTGGCCCGCATCTCCTGCATCGCCTGGGGAAGGTTCGCGTCTTTTTCACCAACAACCAGCAACGCCTCGTCAACACCCGACCCAATCCTCTCAAACAGAGGCCGGATATCAAAGCTATCGCTCTGCAGCGCAAAGCAACAGGTCTGGAATCCCTCCACGGTAGTCTGGTTCATGATGGCGCGCGCCCGAGCCGCCTCCTCAGGGTTGGCCTTGATCCATTCGGCGCCGAACCAGCGGTCCATCGTCTGGTCGACCTGGGCCTCCATGTTGCCGGCCTCGCCCGCCGCCTTGGCCCGCGGGCCGAACAAGTCCTCTACCCCGGCGTGCTTGGGCGACGAGCTGATGGTGTCGCAGATGGCCACCTTTTGGATGATGCCGGGGTACTTTGTCGCAAAGTAGAAGCTCGTCGCGGCGCCCATGGACACGCCGATCCAGGCAAAGAGCTTCTCAATCTTGAGCGACTTGACCAGAGAGTGCACGTCGTCGGCTATCGTCTCGAACTCGGTGTCGAGCTTCTTTGGTGCGGACGACTTGCCGTGGCCCGGCTGGTCAAAGCGCAGCGTACGGAAGCCGTTGGCGTGGAGAACCTTGACAACATGATCCCAGAGCGTAAAGGGCGCCGCAAGCGAGTTGGCTAACAAGACGACGGGCTTCGACTCAGGGCCCGAGAGGTCGTATGATAGGATGCGGCCGTCGGGCAGGTTGAGTTGCTGTGCAGATGCCATTGTGAATCCCACCCTGGTCTTGTAGTGCTTAGGTCGTGATGTAAGGTGATGTCTGGTGATGCTCGATAGTGTCACGCAACGTGCCCAGCTGAAGGAGTATGGATATCGTAAGAGGCAATAAATCAAGATGCAAAGCTACGGAATAAGATGACGGACCTTCCGTGATTGATATCAGAGAGACGACAACCTCAACCTTTTGTGACTTTCACGTCATCGTCATGTGACGGCCGCGGGGTCGGATCGGAGTGGCAGCTTTCGGGAACTGGCAATGGTGGGGTTGCCTCCTGCCCGGCACCCGATGGTCTCATACTGCACGTTCCAGCGTTATCTAATCAAAATACGTACCCTTCCTCCCAAGTAGGTACCCGGCACGGGCCACTCGAGCTCCAGCTCCAGCTTCCTTCAGCTTCTTCTCCCACTCGCATCACACATAACCAGCTCAATCGATAACGCTCCAAAGCAAAAACTGAGTCGGGCAAATCATGGGGAGAGAGCACTTGATGATACGGTGTGAGAAATCAAAACACAAAAGGTAAGGTGCGTCAAGGACAGGATTCGAACCTGCGCGACCGAAGCCACTGCCTAATCTGGAATCAAGGTTTGATAGCAGGGCAGCCCATTAACCACTCTGGCACCTTGACTAGTGACTATTGTTGAGCATTTTGCCTCTCTGAAGCCTTGAGTAGGGCCCGTAGTTGCGTCCTTTCCGACCCGCTCATCGAGCCTGGTCTCCCTTCACAATCCCGTCTCGAAGTCAGAAGGCTCGAAATCCGTGTTCGTCCAAGGATCAACCTCAGGTGTCGTCGGCGACGGCTAGCAAGTTGGTCGAGAACTCTTGCGAAAAGTTTGCGAGCGGCCTGTGAGTTGGAAGGAAGGAAAAGAAGAATCAAAGTTTGAAGCAAAATGTCATGGAGAAAATCTTTCGGAGCTAGCCACCTTACTCGGTCGCAATGGCCACTTGCTGCCCCTGGTTCGCTGCAACCTTACGATGTGGTGGCGGCAACGGTGCAGCGAATAGCTGTCCTTGAAGGCGTCACTGTCATGACCCGGAGTTTGAGTTAACCTATTCGTCTTCCAAAGAGAAGGGATGCATAATTCTTGAATCAATCGAGACAGTTGTCGATTAAATGCTCTTATTGAAATTCGCAGCAGGCTAGAGAGCAATATGAACCAGTGATATTTTACGCGGGTCATGAAACATGCACGGCAATAAAGAGTTAGGATAGGTTCAGATGTGTTTGTCCAATTATTAAAAATACCTACGTACGAACCGTAATTGGAGAGGACAGTTCTCGCAGGACAGCTATCCTAGCATTGAGACAATAGAGCCAATTGACATCGATTTCAGAGCTATGATGGTTTCTTGTTAGCGCATGCTCGCTATCATCCTCAACCAAGAAATACTTACAAGTCTCAGAGCGGGTGGTTGCAAAAGTCGGGTTCCATTCAGCAACGCCCGACTCTTTTTCGGTCTCCCTTGCAGCTGCTGGAACGCCATTCGGATATGCCTACTATCAACTGGCTTCCTAAGACCCTCAGGTTCAGCGAAAAGCCCGCCCAAACCTGTCTTCAAGCCTCTGTCTTTCCCAGTCATCGCCGTCTCCTCACCGAGACGGAGCGCCTCCTGCTTCTGGACATTGAGTGCCTGCGCCGTCAACTTCTGCACCATCTCACTCGTCAAGAACCCCAGGATATCCATCACATCATCATTGGGCTTGTTCTCTGCAATTACGCCCAGCCCACACCATTCTCGAAACCTCTTGGCCTTGCGATAGGTCAGCGACGCATGCCGATACTCTGACCACGTCGCATACTCGGCAACAGTCATATCCCTCGTCCGCTCATCGTTTCTCCTCAACTTCTCGAGCGCGGCCTCGTTGCTTGTAATCTCCACCAGGTCCTCCTGGCTTGCCTCGGTCACTTGTTCAGAGAAATAGGATGCCGCGTCCCAGGGGAGCGTAACGGTAGGCAACTTGGCCTTGCCGCCGGCGGGGGCGTCGTCAGTGGGAGCGACGACGTTTTCTTCGAGATCGGCTTCGTCGACGAAGCCTTCTTTTTCGTCCGAGTCTTTGACGGTTCTGCGGATGGCTTTCCAGGTGAGGAAGATGCGGAGGCGTTCGACTCGGGCTTTGTCGTGGCGGACTTGGAAAATTAGGTCGTTGTTGGAGAAGACGCGGGAGCCGCGGCGGGCGGCGAGGTCGTTGGCTATTCTGAGCTAGATTCCGGTGTTCAGTAGGTGATATTATTGTGGGAAGAGAGATCCGAGGGGGGGAGGCGCGGATGAAATACCATGTGAACGACTTGATCTCGGATGATTTCCTCAATAAGCTTGGTAGTTTGGTCGGAGACCTCTTGTGTCTCTCCTGCAATGTACATCATCTGGTAGATATTGTGTCAATAGTCAGAGATGGCTTTGCTTTGGCACGAGGTATCACGATACGAAAGCAGAGTCGTAAAACGGAGAGAAACAAGGTGGCTTATTGGAACACACTGATGCCAACTCAAGTTATTTGCATAGATGTGGCAGAGCATGTCTGGGCATCACCAGAATTTGAAAAGACTCACCTGTTGAATCTCCTGTTTGAATTTGGGCTCCATGGCTATGACAGGGGCCGGGTATCCTGAACGAAGACGAGGGAACTTGGGTGGGGGTATAGGAAGAGAATGATTAGGAATGAAGGAGCCGGGACGATAACAAATAAAGAGAAATAGAAAACGCAAAGAGTGAACCCCAATCTTTACCCCCAGAACTCTGAGGGCGTGAAAATGAATACATGGCGAAGGTGCGGGTGGAAGAATTCATGTTGGCTATTTTATACAGGCGTTTAAGACGCTATAGGTGCGAGATGTAAATTTGACACTGTGCTTTTACACGCCGCCGGGCATCTGGTGGTGATGCGGGAGTTGGAGAGAGAAATTGGGGACGAAAAGGCGCGGGGATGGCGTTACTTCGATCAAAAATGTCGGTTGAAGGCCGGGCTGATGACACCAAGTCCCCTTACCCATGAAGTATGATATCTGACTGGACCACTCCAACGACTCGTATCCACACGGTTGTGCTGACACAGTGCTCCTTCGGCTTGTAAGTGAGGAGGCCCCTTCCAAGATGCTTGAGGACTGGTCTAAGACGAGGTCCAGTACACATTCATGAACTCCAAGGCTTCTATTTCGATGTGCTTAGTTACTCTGAACCATTTCAATTGAATGTTTCATATCTTCTCAGCATGGTTGGGGCTCAAGTTTCTCAAAGGCCATAGGATGCTGGATGAGATCATAAGAAGCACCATCGCAACTATCCCATCAAGGTTTCGTAGCCCTTTTCCACCATGACATCCATCCAGTACAAGTCCTGCTGCTTCTCATCCATACATGACCAAGTCTCTCTCACAAGAAGCGTCATTTGTCGTATAGGCTTCGCTGCCAAGATGCCCTCGAACGACGCGAGACGCGACAGGACCAGCCGTCTAGCGTGTAAAATATCGGTCATGGTTGGCCTTTCTCTCAACCTAGGACTAGGAGCAAAGCTTGACACAGACTTGTCTCCCAAAAAGTCCAACGAAGAAAATTCTCGAGTTATAGAAAGCTCGCTGCAGATGCTTACTAAGAGTAATGGCTGGATGGACCGAGATCGCGACGTGATTGGAATATCTTGAAGAAGGTCGAGGATGTGTAAAGCAAGACAGGTTAGCCATGTCCCGTGGAGAGCTTCGGGATTGCCCGAAAGGCAGGGTTCCGACTCTCCGATTATATCCAGCCAGGCCGACGGAGTGGCAGTCGCCGTGTCTTGTAAGAGTAGATCGGGAAAGTTGCGATAGAGTTGCAGCAGTCCCGTACATCTGTATGCCTCTGCAGCTTTCAACAGATGGTCGGTTGGTGTCATATCATCTCCCGAGTCCATGACTGTAACCTCTGTTGGAAGTTCAATCTTGCAAAGCCGCGAGTGGAGCTGTTCCGCTGTCTGTATGGCGGCGACGGACTGCTCAATGTCGTGCCTGGATGAATGCCGCCGGCGACGGATCCGTTTTCTTTCTTTTCTGACGAGTGCTCCAACTTGACCTACAACCTCTAGCACCTCTACTCCAATACCTGTCTGCGGGTGTGGCATTCTGGTGTCATGTCGATTGGGAAATCGAGGCGGCTGGGGCTGAAGGGCGCCAGTGCATGCCGCCGAAGGCAACTCTTGGTCGGTGACGAAAGAAAGCAGCATCCTCCAGTAGACGAGAGAATTGTAAAAGAAGAATCGTTTCTGCTTGTCCGCCATTACCAAGCTATCTTGTCGGGCTTCGAGATGGATGAGTGTCTCAGCCAGTAATTCGAACTCGGACTGGCCGAGTTTAGACGGATCATGCCAGCAGAGGCTGAAGCCTAGCATGACTAGTGCCAACAGTGATGATGTATCCGTTGGGCCTGCTCTACTTTCTTTCCATAAGGCGTTCACCGCCTGGTCCCGAAGTCGGCCGCTGGCTGCGGAAAGGCCTGGCGAGACTTCGGCTAAGCAGGCTGCTGCCATGCTTTGGGTAACGTAGTAGAGAGATGGCGAGTTACTCCAGAGATTGGAAACGGTTGTTCTATATGGGTTCAACTTGCTATCGTAGCAAGACATCATCCCGCACACTTCTTTGAAATAGTACTCCACCAACACCGATGTATTGTCCTGTAATGATGGTGATAGTGGAGTTTCATTGCGAGCCATGCTGGATGGATTGGAGCTGACGCGCCGGTCTATCACATCGAGACCAAGCGTAGCGACTTGAGTACCAGGCATGATACCCTGCCATAGTTCATTGGCCTCGGTTTCGGTTGAGGGAAGAGGAAATGTTACCCCTGCGGATGAGGAAGGAGTTGGAGATAGAGCCGGTAGATCTGAGAAGGGAAACGTAGGCTCCAGATGGGTAACATCTTGAAAGTCTATACTTGAAGGGGTATCGACATTTGCAAACTGAATTAGGAAATCCGTATCACAAACATCCCTGCAAGATGAATTAGGGGACTGCTGATTTCGAACCGGGTCCCTAGCCCTTTGCTGGCGGTTTTGTGATCCGCTAGATATCGGGGTTGTGATTTCGACCCTAGGTGATCTAGAGGCAGGCGACCATCTGAGAGGCTTTTGATATCCGGGACAGGATATCCCGAGTCTTTTACATCTCGAACAATGTGGCTTGACTTCGTCGCATTTCAACTTGTTTGGAGCGTGTTAGGAGTTAACATAACGAATGGTACACAATGTTGGTCTCTTACCCGTTTTGACTTGCATACTGCGCACCCATTTCGGGATCTGGTGATGGTCTTTGATGACTGCATCGGGTTGTTGGACAAGGAATTACACGTCACATTCAAATGAGAACCAAATGAGAACGAGACGATAGTTCAATGTAGTGAGGCAACCCCAGAATCTTTCAAACTTGCAATTTCTGAGCAGCAAGCTTTCCATGTGCCTGAGAAGCAATGTCTCGGTGGGTGAAATGACTCGCGTCCGGATGCGGGGAGCTTATCGACAGTGGAGCGCTCGGAGGTAGCATGACCCCAGCGAAGATGAACGCATGCCCCCATCCACTAAACCAAATCAGGTCCCTCGAGGCGAAGGAAAATGATGCTGAAATGGGTAATCGTCGGTGAGGAGACTTCGGAGCCAGTCTTTTCTCTTAGGTATTCAAAGTTTGTTTGATAAGACTTAACGGAATCACTAAGCTGCGCTGAAGCTCTATCAAATCCCCGTGCTATCATTTCTGATCCTACTACTCCGTACCTAGCTCTCCAACATGGCGGCCGTCTTGGAGAATCAGTCTTTCAAAGTCGCATTGGTACAAACAAGCCCAAAGGTGAGCCCACTATCGACGTCACTTTAGCACGAACCATCACCAACCCTCATCTTTGCAGGTTCTGGATGCCGAGCACAACTTTGCTCATGCTTCCAAACAAATTCGCCTGGCTGCAACTCAAGGAGCATCACTGGCGGTTCTCCCAGAATATCATATGACAGGATGGGTACCGGATGAACCCTCATTCGCGCTAAGCTATGAGGAAGCTCAGAATTTCCAACGGCGATACCAGCAACTCGCAGCCGAAGTGCACATCAACATCTGCGCCGGCACAATCGTCTACCGAGCACCAGACGAAGATCCCAACTCCAAGCCAACTCTTCTTAATACCTCTTACTTCATCGACCATGATGGACAACTCTTAGGCGCTTATACCAAGACCAACCTCTGGATCCCCGAACGCGATCATCTGACTTCAAGCATCGACTACGCACACAAGATGCAAGTCGACGAGGGTACGCCAAAGCCTCATAAAGTCTTCGATACTCCCTTGGGTCCCGTCGGCATTCTAGTATGCTGGGATTTGGCCTTCCCGGAAGCATTCCGACAGCTTGTCTTGGCCGGTGCAAAGATCATCGTCATGCCCTCGTACTGGACTCTATCGGACATGAGCAAGGAAGGTTTGGAGTATAACGCGTCTTGCGAGAAGATGTTTGTGGAGTCCACGCTTACCACGAGGGCTTTTGAGAATACTGCTGCCATCATCTACTGCAATGCGGGAGGACCTTCGGAGCAGGGCTATTTTGGTTGCAGCCAAGTTGCATTGCCCATCGTCGGCAAGGTTCCTGGGAGCTTCACGGATGGCGAGGACGGGATGCGGGTGGTGGATGTGGATATGCGAGTTGTTGAGATTGCTGAGCGGAACTATCAGATTCGACAGGATTTGGGGCGCATCGATTGGCATTATGGCTATGCGAAAGGGGCCAAGTTGTAAACTCATAAAGAGAATAATACCTATCGATGTCTAATGTCACGATAATACCACCCAGATGAGATGCAATGAGTGTTTAGATCCAGGCTCGCTTTTGCCCCTGTTTGTTTGTTTTTTGCTTACCCGCTGGTAATGACACTTCAAACAGCCTACAAGGCATTCCAATAGGGTCAGTTCTCTCAGCATAAGGAAGGTACGAGTCAGGAGACGAGAGACAAAACATATCATGGCGGTTTGAGTTTCCAAAGGAGCTATTGCACTGGTTTCGGACGACTGGAGAGCTCTCTAAACACAAGAGCATCGGATTCATCGTATAATTTAATCCGTTCAGATTAGAGGCTATTTACAAAATCACAGCTTGTCATGTGGTAAGGCGGCTATTCCTTTTGCAGATTCCTGATCTTCGATAGGATTCGCAGTCGGTAACTCCTCCCCAAGGATCAGCTCAAATTTGGGACCGTTGTAGGTCTTCCTCTTGATAAACCAGAGTGCAACCGCGTAAACAATGAAAACTCCAATGACAGCTGTCACGTAGTCTGGGTGTGTTAGATACGTAAATAACCCGCTGGTAGATGGGGACTTACTCATAGTGGAAATATCGATCGGAATTGCTGGTGGGAAACAGAAGAACTACGAGATACGTGAGCGTTTCTTCTCCATTACCCCGCACATCTTTACTCACGATAGATGTGACGATGACGAAAAGCACCGACGTCCAGTTCGTGAGGTAGCCCATGAAGCCTCCGCCCAGGGAGAATACTGGCGGATTATCCGTCACGAGTTTCCGGCCTCTGATTAGCAGAATCATGACTGGCATCGCATAAGAAAGATTCAAGAACAGGGTGCAGCTTGCGATGTAGGCATTAAATGCAACCTCAGGGCCTATGAAAAGTTAGTTTCTGCATCTCATGTTTATTGACGGGCAGACGAACCAAGATAGAGAAGACCAAACAGAATGTTGAAAATGGCCTGCACGACTATTGCACGTACAGGGACGTTCAGCTTAGGGTGGAGGCGCGAGAGACTTCAAAAGACCAGGTAAGTAAGATGGGCTAGAATGGTGATAGCTTCAGGCTGTACGTACTACTTCGAGAATGGAGTTCCGTTATCTCGAGCCATAGACCAGACCAAGCGACTGCCCGACGTCACGCAGCCGTTCGCGCCATTAACGAAACAGAGGGCGACTGCGACGCTTAGAACAGTGGCAGCTGCTCTGCTCTTCGTTGCTTGCAAAATCATCTCCGTCAGAGGACTCTGCGTAGGCGAGGAAAGCAAGACGTCAATGTCAACGGCGCAGAAGAGCATAACGAGGATGAAAGCAATTCCCCTGCGTGTATTGTCAGGTTAAATGTACTATTTGATGCGATGGAGTTCTACTTACGTCGTACCACCGACGATCACGGCACCGACCATGGCTTGAGGGGCATCTGTGGATGGTCTAGGCATCTCCTCGACCATGTGCGCCACAGCATCAAAACTATCACTGTGTCAGTCATATAACGGTAGGTCTGTTTCTGGTGAGATGAACCCAATCAAGCTGAGAGCAGACTGAAGAAGTCCAAGCATCCATGCCGTCCCATCGCTCCAGCCGGTAGTATTGGAAAAATTTGTGAAGACGAATTCAGCGTCTGTCTTGGGAGAGGTTGCGAGTAGCACGATGCTGATCACGACGACGCTGAGCAAGGACCAATACACTTGAGAGGATTAGCAAGCCAATCGGTCAACTTTTGTCCTTTAGAGTACTTACATGCTCCTTCATTCCATCGATTGAGGATTGGGTATGCAAAGATATTCAAGAATACTCCAATGATGGACACAGCGACGAACATCAAGTACGTGCTCCATTGTGTGATCTCGTAGGAGCCGCCAGAAGCTGCGACGGCGGCTGCAGCGAGGAATCGGGCTTCATCCAGAATTAGTGAAGGTCAAGTCGTTGATGTAGGTCAATTCTCACCTCCAAAATACGCAGCGGTAGTGTTGAGCGTGAGCCAGCCAGCGATGTTGACCCATCCAACAAAGAAACTCTGGAGCTCATTAGCACTTGATTTCCAGTCAGGCTGTGAGACGTGGGGTTTACCGTCATCTTCCTCCACTTCTTCGTCGAAAGTGCATAGGCATAGTGATATTGCCCTCCAGCCGTCGGATAGAGCGACGCAAGCTCTCCAACACTTGCACTCAATGCGATGTTGCAGATAACACAGAAGATGAAGCCGTACACAAAGGACACTGATCCACCTGAGGGCATCACTAGACCAATGGACCCAGCGAGAGAGATCCAAGTGCTTTTGAAAATCAGTATTCAGATCTGGGTACGTAACTACAATTCAAAGACTAACTTGAGAATAGCGAAAGCCATGCCAATCATGGTGATTTTAGAAAATCGCTTCTGCAGGTGGCCATCGTGGCCATCCGCTGATGATGTGGCCATGTCTTCGAGTGGTATGTGACAGCGGAGCTTCAATGGTGTGAATTGGAGGTAACCACCCGGACGTTCTTGACAGAATGCGAACCTCTCATGTCCTCTTATGGTCCTTGAAGGCTGTTTCACTTGTACATCGCAGTGTCGCACCGATGATAACAAGGCAGATGATAAGGAGAGATGCCTTTACGCTTAAAAACATGCTAACAAACAGCAACGGGGTTATCCTCTCGGGTAGCTGCGAAGCTGCGAGTAATGACGGTGGTCTATCAACACGCTATCCCCAAAGTGGTAGTCTGAAGCAAAGGAAAAGACGAACCCCATGGCCGGCTGTGGATCGGAGACGCTGCTGTGGAGGTCTATCAGCCGATCACCCCGCATGCGATGATAACGGCCCCGAGCTGCGTCAATGCCGGCACCCATTTCCGCTGCGAACTGTGTACTTGGCTATCGAGGAATGTCATTGTTCCCGGAGAATATTTTCCCTTGATGGGTGCATTTCAGTTGATGAAGCTTCAATATAACCCCTAGAGGTAAAATACACCATCAATTGGGTAGAGCCGCTGCTCCCCGTTACTACCTTATGTTGCTCTGCTGTCCAGGCTCTAAAAGCAAGTGCTTAGAGCAACACATGGTTCACTGTCCTCGATCGTACGGCGCGGATAACGGCCACTGTTCAATCCAACCACATAGATTGAATTTGATTCATTGCTTCATTTTGTCCAAGGTTATGTTTGAATTAAAGCATCTTCTTGTACACCTTGTTGCATTCAATCTCCTGAACCCACAAGTTCCATGGTCGCATTAATGACCACTGTGTCGTCTTGTCAGAAGCCATACATTCATCTTTACTCAGGCTCTTCACGCCGCCCGTGACCCCAGTAACGCCTTGAAGCATTAAAGCAGTAGTTTGGATGCTTGCATTCTTCTGCGTATACACTGCTCGCATCACGGCGAGCTCGATGCTACTGGCAACGACTGTGAAACCATGCCCGCGCATCAACGTCACGTTATTGCCATCGTCGAAGTGCTTCGCCAAGTGGGCACCCATATTCTCACTGCGTACAAGTAGGTCATCAACGTCGCTGTTCTCCATGTGGTTTGCGGTATCAAATACCGGTAAACCATTGGCGCCCAGAAATCCGCACATGTGGCTGACGGCCCTCAGCGGAACACCCGATATCGTGTATGGGACCACGGCCTCGGAGTGGCTGTGGACCACCGCGTTAACCTGTGGGTGCCGCTTGTAAACCTCCGAGTGGATTCGCCGCTCCGCAAAGCCCGGAGGCGACTCCGCTTCGAGGGGCTCGGCATCACCAACCCTATAGGCGACAAGATCTCTGATCTCTGACACCTGAGCTGGGGCAACGTTTCGAGACATTACAAAGATGTCAGGGTCTAGAGGGTAGCGGAAAGACAGGTGACCGTAGGCATCAACCACTTGATGGAAGTGGAGAATGTGAGAGCCATCGATGAGTTTGCTGAAAAGCTTCCGAAGGTCGTCGGTGTGAGGCAGAGCAGCCATTGCAACGGGATGTATTTCTTTCCGGACAATGGCGTAGGAATGTAAAAGATTTCAAAGCGATATTTGATTTCCCGAAGACGGCTGGATTTGAGAAAGGCTAAGAGTGTCGCGAGTGCCGAGTGCTCATACAGAAGCAGCTGATCGACGGGCCGATGATCGGATTTCAGAAATCTGGCGGGGTACGAGCACCAACTCGATGCGGGGTCGTCGAGGGGGTAGTTTGAGAGTCTGAATGTCTGGCATTTGGCGACCTTTTCGTACATGCACATAGGATCTTCATGTTAAAAGTTGGTTTTGTGTTTGAGTATGCCGCGCCGAGTTCGAGGTAGCAGTAGATTTCCTGACAAAACCAATCTTCTCTCGCAGCAACTTTAGTCTTGGAAGGAATCCATTGGTCCTTTCGGAACGAGACCCAGTTCAACCAGAAGCCTCTCTAAACCCTCTGTCCTGAATGGTTTCTGTATCAATGCGTCGAAACCAAGACTGCGAGTTCTATCCATATCTAGCCCCATTGATATGCCAGCAGCCATAACTACAATACAACACGGCTTCAGGCCATTCTCGATTTCGAATGCGCGAATGAGTCTTGTGGCATGCAGACCATCAATGACGGGCATCGAAGGCTGCATCAAGATGCATTGATAGGTCTGGTAGCCTTTCTTGTATGCCTCGAATGCCTCCTGGCCATTACATGCGAAGTCGTACACGCAATTGTGCCCTAATCCGTCCATTTGCCTGGCGATGAACTTTCTCACAACTTGATTGTGTTCGGCTACAAGGATGTTGATTGACGTCGTGTGTGTTGCTGTAATGGGAACGCCAAGTGCCTGAGCTGGGCTTGATAGGCCTGATTGCTCTGTGCTCAGCTCTTCCAGTGGACGTGTTCCATTCTCCGGCAGGGATTCTGCGCACGAGAATACCATGTCGGCAAAGCAGTCATCTAATCTCTTCAGTGGTAAGCGAAGGAACGATGGCGGTCGGGTTTGGAAGTGCTGTAGTCGATGACCATAAAGCATTCAGAGATACATTGAACAAGAAAGATGACGCTGCACACTTTTTTCTTCTCAAACACTAGATTATGTGCTGTGAGGCTTGCTGCCTGCTTGGCTTCTGACTTCTCGCTTACTCAAGGCGCAGCATTTCTAGTCTGCTTATGTGGATGCGGCCACGTTCTCAAGAGCTCTCGCATTGAGGTTTGGCACTAAGATGTAGGATTTGGGGAAAGGGAATATCTATAATACGACGCGTGTCACATACCTTTTTCACGGTAACTAGATCCATCAACTTGCTACTTTACGTTGTTCTTTAGGCCCTGTGTTGACTTGGCGCCACCGATGCCCACGCAGCACTCCATGTGGGATGTGGATCCTACGTATAAACAACAATTATCGTAATAGATATCCAAAAGATGGCTATGGAAACCGTATGCTCGCCGGTCCGTACTGCCGGGCAGTGTCAAGACAGGGCCATCATCTTGGACGAGGCGCGCCCGACGCCGGCGCCGTTAGGGGTACCGTGCAATTATGGGGCCGGTTCACGGGATCGGGTTGAAAATCGTGACAAGAGCCCCGAACGAGTTCTGGTACTCTATCACCGAGAGGAGGGGACGAGATTAGTTAGCGGCTTCGAACTCAAGATATTCCTCACAGACTCTTCGGTGTTCGGCTATTCCGTCTTGCCTCGTTCTCGCAATGTTCCAGAAGCTCTATCCCTGAAGCTCAGACTCGTGTCGAGACGCATCTCCCAATGAGACCGCCGTAAACGCGAGGCATGTCCAAACTCTGTTCTACTTACCTTGCCATCTCGCAAGGCAGGGTGCCGGGCCTCTTCACCTCTTCTGCAGAGTACTCCCTCTCAGTTGAGAAGATTGCCCATGGCTGGGCGCCTCGAATAAATGAACTCTGCTAGAAACAAACCCCGCGGAGCCACTTCCCCGCGTCCCTCTTCTCCAACATTGGGTTTCCGCTAGGGAATGTCTGGTGCTAGTTCAATGACGCCGAGTTCTGGGGTAACGCACTTGGTGGGACTGCGTTACACCCCTAGATCCATTTTCGCTTCGCCTCGCATGAGAAAGCATCTGCCGGCTGTTCGTTTCGGGATCTGGTGAGACAAGGGAGAGAGTCGAGACTGGGGGGAGCTTGGAGCTCGGGTGCTCGGTCAAGCAGCAGCAGTGAAGCACGGCAGATCGGTAAAAACCCCAAACGCAACAACCCCAAAACTGGTTCTCCAAGGGCGTCTTTTGTGTTTTCCTATGAAGCCCGACTCCGTGACCTCGGTAAGCTGGCCACCACCTTGGTATTTGGGTTCTACGACGCTCCCCAAGGATTCAACACCATATCTCGAGCTTGACGACAGCAAGGACTCATTTTCACAACACCAATTTATTGAAGACTGAGAATACACAACTTTTTAACGAACACATCGTCGTTTGGTCGCAAATACCAAGCCACGTCTCAGTAATCGGGTATTGGTTTCGCTGTGCCCAGCTGCAGCCACTGGAGCCTGAGCGAGTACAAGACAGGCGATTCGGATAGTTTCCAAACCCAAGGCGAAAGAAATAGCAAGAATGGCACTCGGTAAGAAGACCTTATTCGAGATCCTTGCCCAAGCCCTCAGATCGAGATCAATTGGCGGGCATTGGCTACCACAAATGCCATGAATGCGCACTCACCCGATAGCAGTTACGGCCGCCGCGCTGGCTGGCAGCATGGTCTCCAGCATGTACGTAGATGCCAAGTACCACATCTCCAAGGATGTCAAGGCCCTCCGAGGTCGACGGACAGTGACCAAATTTGTCGAAAACTCGAGTAAGGACTGCCGCAGCCTACTTGACGCTCGTGAGATTAACCCAGGATACAGTCAAGAGCAGCCGTGTTTCTCCCTATTATTTCTTCGAAGAAGCGGTCCAAAAGGATCCCTACGGTGAAGCCATCTGGACACGGAGCGGAAGCGTGTCGTGGAAGACGACCTATGACAGGGCGAACCAGTATGCACAGATGTTCTTGTCGCAAGGTGTTCGGCCGGGGGACTTCGTTGCGATTCTCATGCAAAACTCGCCCGACTTTGCATTCGCCTGGGTTGGACTGCTTGCAGTTGGTGCGGCGCCCGCCATGATTAACTACAATCTCGTCGGCAAAGCTCTCCTCGGCTGCATCGAGATCAGCACCGCCAAACTCGTAGTCGTCGACGGAAGCCCTGATATCGCGGCCAAGTACAACGACGTTCAGACCGAGTTGGATCTCAAGGGCATCAGAGTCGTCAACATCGGAGAAGAGAGGGAAAGGATATATCAGATGGATCCCATCCGTCCGCGAGACGAGCTTCGGAAGAATCTGACGCCTGCCGATGCAATGGCCATGTTCTATACGAGGTAAGCTCATTGGTGTCGGGGTCTGGCTTCGATATCTGACAATCGCAGTGGAACTACCGGGCTACCCAAGGCCGTAATCATGCCTGCCGCTGCCGCTGGGAGCCTCGCATTATCGGTGAGCATTTGATGCGCACTCTGTCTTCCTCCGGCTTGCTGACCTGCTTAGAACGACATTGGCTTGCATCCGACAAAGAGCGGGAAGGAAAGATGCTACATTTGCATGGTAAGTGAATACGCCTATATTGTGATGAGTGAAGTTTCTAAAAGGATTGATACAGCCGTATTATCACGGGACTGGCGGTATTACTATGATATCCCAGATCTTGGTAAGAACCTCCCGCCCTCTTCAAGCGAATTCTAGCTTACACTTGTAGTCTGGCTCTACAGTCTGCATGGCACCCAAATTCAGTGTCTCAAACTTCTGGGAAGATGTTCGTGACTCCCACGCCACTTGGTTCGTCTACGTTGGCGAGACTCTCCGATACCTCTTAGCCTCGCCTCCTTCGCCGCGCGACAAAGACCACAACATCCACGCTGTTTTCGGCAACGGCTGCCGACCCGACGTATGGAAACGCTTCCAAGAGAGGTTCGGCATCGACACGGTGTGCGAGTTCTATAACAGCACCGAGGGCGCTTTGGGCCTTCGCAACCTCTCTCGAGGAGACTTCTTCGCGAATGCTCTTGGTCACCACGGACTTCTGCTCCGACTCAAGTACAGAAACATGGTGGTACCTGTTGAGATCGATGCGGAAACGGGAAATATCCAGCGAGATCCAAAAACTGGCCTGGCCCTGCGCGCTTCGTATGAAGTCGGTGGCGAGATCTTGGTCGAGCACCCTGGAGAACGAGCGTTTCCGGGCTACTTCAACAACGAGGACGCCACCAACAAGAAGTTCGTCCGCGATATTCTGAAGAAGGGTGATTGCTTCTACCGGACCGGCGACTCTTTGCGGCGCGATAGTGAAGGCAGATGGTTTTTCCTTGATCGGTAAGTGTCAGAAATATCTCACTCGGGCTGCATCTGCTCACCCACATACCCAGTTTAGGTGATACGTACCGTTGGAAAGGCGAGAACGTCTCGACTGCGGAAGTCTCAGAAGTCCTTGGTAGCTACCCAGGTGTCAACGAGGCAGTCGTCTACGGTGTCCAGCTTCCCGGACATGATGGTAAGGCTGGTGCGGCAGCCCTAGACATTGCTGCGGACCAGAAGGGGTCTTTCAACTATGCCGACTTCCTGAGGTGAGTAGACTCGACCTCAAGAGCTTGTATGCGTCAAAACTGATGGTCAACAGTTTCGCCCGATCAAAGCTCCCAAGATATGCCGTGCCGGTTTTCATCCGGCTCCTGAACGAGGGCACAGCAACGCACAACAATAAGCAGAACAAAGTGCCGCTGAAGAATGAGGGCGTGGATCCAAGTAAGATCCAAGGCGGCGATCAATTGTTGTGGATTGAGAAGCACGGGAAAGGAAGCACATATGTCCCATTCACTCAAGATGACTGGAACAACCTCGGTATGGGAAAGGCTAAGCTGTAATTGTTCTAGAGAGACACGTAGATGGAAGGTATGACGAGGAGTCACATGAGCTACAGATTTCCATTGAAAGGCCGGCCATGTTACCTTGCTAGAG